ATAATATTGTTTAAAAAAAATAGGTTTGAACGGCTCTAAAATAAAATAAAAAATTAAATTTTTTTTATTGGATTTTACTTTTTAGTATATCTATTATATTAGATAGAAACACCAACATTTTATTTTATTATGGTTAGAATTTTTTGATGGTAACAATTAAACCCCTTAACTAGATAACAAATCTTATCTAACTATTGGTAAACCTCAAAATATCAAACCTAATCCTAACATTATTTTACCTTTATAAAACACAAAAAAAGAGATACTATCCTTACTAGAGAGAGATTTTTTACACTTATATTAAGAACTTAATGAGTCAAATTTGATCATCAACTTACTTTCTCTTCATAAATATAATCTGATAAGAATATATTTTTAAAATTCAAATATTTTATTTATAGATTTTCTACCCTTCACTCACTGGAATTTATTTTTATAAAACTGAGATCTTACAAGTTACAATTTGAAAATCCTTTTTATTATCGAATAATTATAAAATTTCAAATTAAATTATTTTATGGTCAGAAGAGTATTATCACAAAAAATGGCACGTGTAGAATTTAATAATCCATAAGAAATATTTTATTTTGATTGGGAATAAACAAATTGATAAAATAATTCTAATTAGCATTCTGAAAGCTTCACTTCCTTCTCCGAAAGTTTCGCCACTATTCCCACCAAGTGTTTCATTACGGTAAAAGGGGAGTGAACTCAATAACTATATTTTATAATCTCAATAAATTTATATGAGATTTCTTTCAATTTTTCTTTTTATTTTTAGTTAAGTTTTAATTAAATTTTCTTGTTCATCTTATACTTTTTCTGTTCAATATTTTTTATTTATTGTCTTAAAGCTTTTATATCTTTCGATCTCGACTTCTGTATTTGTATTGCATGACTATTTTATAGTTTATATTAGGAGTAAAAGACTTATGTATTTGTATTGCATGACTTAATATTTGATTTAAGGACTATTTTATAGTTTATATCACGAGTAAGAGTAGCATAACATACATTAACATTCATTTAACATATTTAATAAAAGTAAACATAAAAAAAATAAATATTTATAATTTTAAAAAAAATAAATATAAAGAAAGATAATATCAAATGATTGTAAAAGAATTATGTATATAAAAGTATCATTTTTCTTATATTATTTTAATTCCTGTAAGGCTTTATTTACATTAACCTCAATAAAATCACTTAATTTTTACTAATCCTCCGATTAACCTAATTTGTTATGTTCGAGTAGGAAAATGCGACAGGGACATATGCCTTTTTTAATTAAAATTTAAAAATAATTATTCACATTTTTAATTAAAAAATTAATATTGATTTAATATGTTAAGTATTACATATATTCCTTTACATAAAGTCTAATTTTCACACAATGAAAAGTATAAAATTCCAACACAATCAATTATTTGTAGTAAAATAAATAATTAATCTGTCTTAACAATCTACTGTAGCTTTTCGCCTGTGGCTTTTTTATTATATTAACAACAAACAGCTATTCACATTTTTTTTCTATTTTTTCTAACAAAACAGCTTATTTTGTTCATTTATTTATTTATTACCTTTTTATTTTCTTTTTATTTATATTTCTTTCGTTCCTTTGTGAACTTGAAAGTCAACGATATGTAATGGCCGCTATATTGTAATTCAAAATGAGTGATACAACTCAAACAGAGTAATGGAAGTTTGAATTTGAGTTTCATAGGGAAGACATTCAACCTTTTGAGTTATATTGTAATTCAAGTTCACTTTCATGAATCTCCATTCTTTCGCCTGATAACATTTGATTCCCTATCAATTTAATTATATTTATTAGGCAAACTAATTATTTAAAAATAATAATGATATATATATATATATATATATATATATATATATATATACACACACACACATTTTAAATAAATTATAATTAAATCACTTTTATTAAAATATAGGAATCATCAATTATACTTTTATAAAACATTATAATTTATTATACTCAACACACTTTTTAGAATATTCATATATAGCATGTCATACAGAAAAGAAATTATTCTTAACATTATGTGTCAAGATACTTCATCCACTTCTCTTATAACAACATTACGTGTTAATTGTTTGGTAGTATAATATATATATTCTTTTAGCTTTTCATCATTTAATGTGTTAATAGGACGAAATCATTACTAAAATATGTAAAATATTATTATTATTTTTTCAACAATGAGTATCGTGGTTAATATTAGAAGTCTTGGATCTACAATATGGTCTTGGATATCTTATCATGTACTTATAAAAGGTCACTATATCACAAAGACATTGTTCAAGCAAACACATCCCACTTAGGTGAATTTGTTTTCTAATTTAAGGACTATCTTATTTGAGTTGCATTACATCATCAATAAATCTTATTATTAATCTTGTTGTATCATTATCATTCGAACAATCATATTCTAAATTCTCATGCATCGTCATAATTTCTGTAAAGCCACTTTTTCTTTTAAAACAAGGATAGCTTATCTCAGAAAACAAAAAACGCAATGCTTTCTCTCTTTGATAACTTATTCAAATCTTACATTTTCTTTGATGGAAGCTACCATTGGAATCAACTCCCACGGATAAAATATCGTGTATAGACTAAGCATCTTTTCTATCCGTTTTTCTAGAGTGATACGTGAATTTTAATAAAAACCCTTAGCAATTTTTATTATACGTTCACGTTAAATTTAATATTCTAATGTTACAAATGATTAGTGATGAACTTTACGTTTAGATGCTTAATAAATTAATTACTCGTTTAATTATTCTAATAGTCCCTTCAAATAGATCCTTTTTTTCCCTTAATTAGATTCCTAAAGATGAAAAATGAGTGCAATTGGATCCTTAAATTGGGTTAACGAAGTTAAAATTAAGGTGATTTGTAACTGTGAGATGGAATCATTAAGCTGAGTTGTCACTCCATTATGTCACATCATCATCTTCAACCTTTCCCCAAATCAGAAACCCTAGCAGTCCGTGGCAACCAACGAAAAACACCACCATAGTCTCCATGCGCCGCTATACAACTACCACTATCGCAAAATCATGTTTGTCTTCCTCGCACAATCACAAAAACCCGCGAAGCAACAACAGAACCATTATGGCCAGCCAAGGTCCGTGCACCATCACTGTAGGTTCGTATTCTCTTCATCCTCACGTCATGAAGCAACCAAAATCGCAAGCACCACGAGAGCTCTACAACGAGTATGAACCTGCAAAAATTTAGAAAAATCTCCAATTCAGAACCCTCAATTGCATTATCACTGGATGAGTTCTCTTCTCCCTTCTCGCGCAAATCCCAAATTTTAGACCTGTAGAAACTCAAGTCAATCTCCTTCAATCTAGAAACTCATAAGCATCCAAAACGCAGAAGCACCCAGATTGCATAATCTTCTTCGCATAGAGGCCTCAACCCTTCATCTTGTTCAAACGCGTATTGCAAGTTGCTTCTTCTTCCCTCACCATGAGGTTGCCGTCACGCATTCATCTTGAACCAAAACCTACAAGGAAAGTCAAACACAGAACCAACCAAAACCCCTTCGAATCGCGCTGCCATCGCGCTTCCAAACCCAATCGCTAACCTGCGAAATCAATTCCCTTCATCGTGAGCTTCATCTTCTTCCCTGAGCATCAAACCAGCAAAAAGAAATCAAGCAATCGAAATAGAATTGTAGGTAGAATCACTAAGGTTTGTAATTTGGGGAAAATGTTGAAGATGACGAACCCTAATTTCGTTTATATGAACCTTAATTTTGTGATCCCCTAATTCTATTCTTAGAAACATTTCTTTTTCATTTTTTAATTACACATATTCCACGTAACCTGCACACATCAATTAATGATTCTACATCATAGTGACAACTCAGCTTAATTTTTAACATCGTTAACCCAATTTAACGACAGAGACCCAATTCCACTGATTTTGTACTTTTAGGAATCTAATTGAGAAAAAAAATCTATTTAAAAAAACGCAACATAAATAGGAATTATGAAAATAATTAAACTTATAATAATAATAAGGGTTAAATATGTTTTTAGTCCCTTAACTATCAAGCGATTTTGGATTTAGTCCCTATTTGAAAGTTTTGTTCATTTTAGTCCTCTTAGTTTTGAAACTTTTATAGTTAGTCCTCAAAATTGAACGACGTTAACTTTTGTATGATGTGGCAAATGACGAGCCCACGTATGATGCCAGTTTTCCTTGCCACGTTTCTCTTTTTTTCTTTCTCTTTTACTACCCTTCAATGGAGCAGCTTCGACCACTGCCTCCGATAAAGTCTCCACTGCTGATAAAGTCTCTCCTTCCGATCTGCTTCAGATTCCACTTTTCCTCTTCAAGATCCATTTTTTATACAATTCTCTCACAATCTCTCAGGATCATCTCCAAAATATGCTTCCCCATTTTTGCCGGCAAATTTGACCTTTTTACTTTACTCTTCTCTTGGTCTTTTAAGTTCAACCCTGTGCTTTTCTTCTTTGATTTTTTTTTTGTGTTTTTTGGTTTATTCTTGTCTTGTTGGTGTTCCTAGACTGTTCTGCTTCACTAATTGGATCCTACTTTGCATGTAGCTTTGCTAGGGATGTAGATATATGGTATCTCTTCTTGCTAAAATTGGTCTTAAGGTTTTGTTCTTGGATAATATGGGATGGGGTTCACCTTTCTGGTGCAGTCTGAGGTCTTGGCTGGTTAATTATCTTGTTGTGTTTTGGTTATGTTGTGATGTACTTGTGCTGTTATGTGTCAAGTGGAGGAACTGTTTTGGTTTTATCTGTTAAAAGGATCTATTTGTCTGATTCTGAATGTGAGGAAATTATGTTCTGATTTTATTGATGTTTAAAGTGTTTGTTCTGTGGATTGGTTCATGAATATCTGTTAACGCGCACCCGTTTAACCAGCATGTTTTTCATATTGTGGCTTGATGGCTGACTGATTTTTTTATGATGTTGGTGGCTTTTTATAGGTTGCGACGCGAAGAAGGAGCTCTGGGTGAAGGACGATGAAGGATGGCTCACGCAGGAGGATGCTCGCGCTCTGAATTCGCGGCAACTTGGGGGTTGCTTGCGCGATCTGATGATGGAGGCTGTAGAGACTCGCGACGGCAGCGAATGGTTGCTCATGGTGGTGGTGGTTCAATGTGAGCTTGAAGGATTCGTGGTGTTGATGGCAGCTTTTTGGCAATGGCGACCTTGCGATGGCGACCTTGCGATGGCATAGCTGACGACAGAGGAGGATTAGGGTTTTTGGAGTTTGGAGAAGGTAGGCGGTTCTGGGTTGGTGACATTTAAAAAAAAAAAA